ACTTAAAACATATTTATAAATAAATTAATGAATTTTTTCAAGTTTTGTCTATAAATCATAGACTGAACTAGGTGACCACCCAGTGTTTCATTCTTCTCTAAGATTATAATGATCCTTTAGAAGATAAGGAAAGGAATATATTTTATATTGTCACATTTAACTCCTAATTTCACATGCAAATTATCAGTTTTAGAAATATACAAGTTGATCAATTTTGTAACTGTTTACAAAGTAATATTATTTATTGTAAACTATTTAGAAATTTAGAATAACACGAAGAAGGTGACAGAATCACTCACATTGTACCTCCTAGAGGTAAACACTATAAGCAATGGTTTTTATGTACCTATAGATGAGCTTTAAAAAGTAAGCTTATTATATAATCCTAAGTAGACAGCAATTCTGTGATTACATGATATTCTCATCAACACACTGGAAAAATATAATGTGAATGACTTAACTATGGGTTGAATGCACAACTGGCTGACAGGTATACTCAGAGATAATCTTTGATGATAACACTGTCATCATAAGATAAATACTGTAAGGTAATATTTATCTTAATAGTTTCACTCAGGACTTGAATAATATAGTAGAAAATTCATTGACAAACTTGAAGAACAGCTATATGTCATCAGGAAATGGTTTAAAATTCTTTAAGCTGTGATTTCTTCATAGATGAGATGAGGATCACATCTATACTGCTTAACTCAAAACCAGTTATGATGTAGTATATATAAAAGCATCAAAAGCATTTTACAGACTATAAAATAATACAGTGTGTAAGTTCTGCTATAGAGATCAATGCTCATTTTAAGAATTCTAAGTCATTATGGAAAAGGATTTGTTATGTTCACTAGAGTCTGCTTAAGAATCTTGGAATGTAGAATATATTTTATAAAATTTTCATCAAAATGTGTACAGCTCAAGGAGTAAAGCATCTGTTATTGGAAAAATTTATTCACCATAGATAAAGAATAAGTCAGGTGTTACTGACATTATTTCTTACATGTCCAGAAACATGAGTATATGTTAGCATTAAATTCCTGAGAGGTTAATGCCAGCTCTCTATCATGTTCTTTTGAATAATGTTTAATATTCATCTTTGGAGCGGGGAGGATTTGATAGTGAAGAAAAAATCAAATGTCAATTAAAACTAAAATTTACAAAGAGGATTGGCGATCAGGGTATTTGATAGCATCTGTATCCCCAGGGCCTGGCATTATTTCTGACAAATATTTGGTGTTCAGTATGTATTTGTTGACTAAATAATAAGATGTGACCCTTAAATCATGGTTTTGTTTTATGACTCTAAGGAGAAATTTCCTAAAATTATAAAATGGTCGTGATTTTTAAAAAATGGTTGAAATAAGGCCATAAGTTTTCTAGGTGACCAAAGTTTGAATATTTGAGTTTTGGTGTGTATTTTCAAAACTTTTGTATTACTTCATAGTCATATGTTCAACTTTAAAATTAGGTAAAATAATCTGTTACCGTATTTCTTTTTAATTTATATTATTCAGTAATATTCCATTGACGCATTAAATTCTCTTTATGTGATTTTCCTCAGTATATAAATTTAATGATTCTTGGGATTAGTCTCAATTGCTTCAACTATTTAAAAGTATGATCAGTATTTATTTACCATTACTTGATTGGATCACAATTATTTGATAGAGGCACGCAGTCCTAGATAGCTGAAACAGCTTAAACTCCAAATGCCATAGATAAATAGATATTTCTTTGTAGTAGTTTTAAGTCTACATCAAGGCAATATGCACGGTAGAACAAAATGTATTCATTTCAAAAAGTGGACTAAAAGGAGTTTCGTAGGAGGAATCTGCATCTATCTAAGTGAAATAGGATTTATAAGGCCTTGTCAAGTATGGGTATTAAAACCATGATTATAGGATTTAATTCCTATGTAAAATATTTAAAATCCAATTTATATAATAAAATCAAATCTATTAATTCATTTACCTTTTTTAGAAAAGCCTTTTTAAATTGCTGTATGGAATCTTTCTTTTTGCCTAATAACATTAAATATGTATTCTTTGACAAAAAGCAAACACTGGCAGTAAAAGAATTCAAAATGATCTACTACCAAGACATTCTCAGAGGAGTGTAGTATCATTAAGCATTGGAAAAAATTCAGCTTTATATTTAATTATAACTAAATTAGGGTCTTTAAGTTTTTAAATTTTGCTTGTATAATGTAATGATTTGGTTTTTTTTTTTTTAAAAAATGCTTTATTGACCTGATAGAATTGGAGGGGACTCTCTGATCTAGTCTAACCTCCCTATTACTGAAGGACACAGAGGTCCAGAGAGGAGGAGAGAGATGCCTGAAAGTAGTTGACAGGCAGCAGAGCCAAGATCACAAGGTGCCATGATCTTTGAAGCAGTTTGCACCCATGAGACAGTTTTAACCTTGCAGATGTGTCACGTGGTTTTTCTTGGGGCAATTATTGTAATTTTTAACCTGAAAACATTAGAAACAGTTTTGATTTCAAGAAGCCAATCCAATGTGCTAAGGCTTTTCCATTCCCTTTGTTTGCCTGGGTATTTTGATAATAGTAACTAATAATTGTATAGCACTTTTCAATTTTATAAAACATTTTTATATTTGACATTTTCATTTGAGTCTCAGAACAGCCTTCTCAGGTAAGGAAATACTACTCTCACCCTACAAATGAGGAGACTGAGGCCAAAGGAAATTTAATAATTTGTTCAAATTGTATAAGTAGATGGCAGAGCCAGATTTGAACACAAGCCTTCCCGCTCCAGAGCCCTTGCCTTTCTGCTCTGTCCAGCTTTACATGGTTGGAGGAATTTTTTAAATAGTCAGATTATTGTCATGACACATCACTAGTCTCTGGTCAGCCCTTTTGTTATGCAAAAAATAATGTTTTAAATTAATAATGGGTATGTTTTGAATGCCTATGATGGGCCAGGCAATGTGTGGGTCCTTATTACATCTGACTCTCAGAATCTGCGAGGCATTTTAGAAGTGAAGTTATGCCACTTATCCAGTAAGTAATTCACCCAGGATTAACACCGCCACCCGCTGTCTGTTTGCCTCCAAAGCCCCAAATTTCAGCTGCTCCCAGAATTCAGGTTTCCTTAAAGGAGGACATACCCATATGCTAAGAGCAAAATCAATCTTTATGTGCTACTTCTGAATTGCATACATGGGTGTTTATATTTAAACATCCAAATTTCCGCTTATTGACACAGTAATTGAGAAAGTCATGAAATTTAAAAAAGAAAGCAGGAAAGGTAAGTCAGCTGCTGTATATGCCAGTATAATTGCTAGATGGCAGGGTCAGGTTTTTTTTATCTTTGTGATGATATTAACTACTAACATATACTTTTAACTAAATTAAAATGATGCATCTGACCCACCCACCTTAAATGAAAATATTTAGGAAGTTTGTTCAAGTTTATGACATTACCTTGTCTTCTGAAATTTTCTCTTTCATAATTATTAGTTAAGCTACGTATACTTAAAAATTTAAACGTGATTTTTTTTTTGTTTGTTTTTGTTTTTGATTTTCTCTTTCATAATTATTAGTTAAGCTACGTATACTTAAAAATTTAAACGTGATTTTTTGTTTGTTTGATTGACACAGTAATTGAGAAAGTCATGAAATTTAAAAAAGAAAGCAGGAAAGGTAAGTCAGCTGCTGTATATGCCAGTATAATTGCTAGATGGCAGGGTCAGGTTTTTTTTATCTTTGTGATGATATTAACTACTAACATATACTTTTAACTAAATTAAAATGATGCATCTGACCCACCCACCTTAAATGAAAATATTTAGGAAGTTTGTTCAAGTTTATGACATTACCTTGTCTTCTGAAATTTTCTCTTTCATAATTATTAGTTAAGCTACGTATACTTAAAAATTTAAACGTGATTTTTTTTTTGTTTGTTTTTGTTTTTGTTTTTGTTTTGTCTTTTGTCTTTTTTCCGTGTCCGGCAACGGATCGCAACCCTCAGTGTTGCCCCCATACCGGACCGAGGACCGGCAACGGGATCGCAAGCCTCAGCGTTGCTCCCGCGCCTCGCTCAGCCAGTGAGCGGGAACCGGTCTGTACGTGGGATCCGAACCCTCGGACGGGAGCGCCGCCGCACTTCCCAAGCGGCGCACTATCCAGTGCGCCACCGGGCTGGCCCTAAACGTGATTTTATTTATGTATTTATTTTTTGAAATAATTTTGCTTTTTGGGGTATTTTTATTTTTTGTAAGATTCTTTGAAGTTATTACCATCAAAACTGAACAAAGCTGCTCCTCTTCAGGCCCCTCTTTTGATAAGAAATTATTTTGAAGGGTTGTTTTCATTGAGGTGATTTTTTTTATTTGCCATGGGTGTGCAGGAGAATGCCAGCTTTGTGAGCTGTGGGTTGGCCAGGCATTCATGGGGAGGGAGAGGAGACCTGCACAGCTGTTTTTAGCTAAGTAGCAGGTCCCCCGTTTGCTCTGAATCTAACTAACTATAGGAGAAGTGGGGCCTCCAATGTTCCCAAGTCCTGATGTGCGAAGAAAGCAGAGGGATTTGCACGGTGGAAATTAAAGTTTTGAAGTTTTACCTAGTTCCTGGGACCAGACTCTCATGGCATCAACTGGGAAATTCTAGTGTCCTTTGTTTCAGCTGGAAAACAAACTTTGTTCAGTCTTGCCCCAAATAAGAAGTTCTAGGCAATTCAGGCATTTGACAGAAGTGTAAGAGTCTCATTCAGGTTTAAAGTATAAGGTTGAATTTCTAAGCAAGTCTGAAGAGTATATGCAATTCACAGCCTATAATTTTATGCTCTTACACATCTTGAGGGGTTTGGTATCTTCAAGTGAAGGTCTTAAAGGCAACATGGACTGGATTCTAAAACTTGATCCTCTGATGCTAATCAGGAATACACACTTATCAAATGGTGTCTTCTGTTGCATTATTTATCTACTGCATATCCCATTTTGACAATTTATTCTTATCTTTTTTACTTAGGTCGAACTGGAAGGTACACCCTTATAGAAAAATGGAGAGATACTGAAAGACACTTAGCACCTCATGAAAATCCTATCATATCCTTAAACAAATGGGGGCAGTATGCGAGTGATGTACAGCTAATTCTACGTCGAACGGGGCCATCTCTCAGTGAGCGACCCACTTCGGATAGCGTGGCTCGAATTCCTGAAAGAACTTTATACAGACAGAGTTTGCCTCCCTTAGCTAAACTGAGGCCTCAGATTGACAAATCCATCAAAAGGAGAGAACCTAAAAGGAAATCATTAACATTTACAGGAGGTGCCAAAGGATTAATGGACATTTTTGGAAAAGGTAAAGAAACTGAATTTAAGCAAAAGGTGCTGAGTAACTGCAAAACAACAGCAGATGAGTTGAAGAAGCTGATCCGTTTGCAGACAGAGAAGCTTCAATCCATTGAGAAACAGCTGGAATCTAATGACATAGAAATACGATTTTGGGAACAAAAATATAATTCTAACCTTGAGGAGGAAATTGTTCGCCTGGAGCAAAAGATCAAAAGAAATGATGTAGAAATTGAGGAGGAAGAATTTTGGGAAAATGAATTACAGATTGAACAGGAAAATGAAAAACAGCTGAAGGATCAACTTCAAGAAATAAGACAGAAAATAACAGAATGTGAAAGCAAATTAAAGGACTATTTGGCACAGATCCAGACTATGGAAAGCGGTCTTGAAGCAGAAAAATTACAACGGGAAGTTCAGGAGGCACAGGTCAATGAGGAAGAGGTCAAAGGAAAGATCGGTAAGGTTAAAGGGGAAATCGACATTCAAGGCCAGCAGAGTTTGAGACTGGAAAATGGCATCAAAGCTGTGGAAAGATCTCTTGGACAAGCCACCAAACGATTACAGGTCAGAATGGTTTCTTAAATAGAGTGTTTTATCTATTTCAAAGAGTTAATATATTCTTGTAATCTTCTTTTATGGTTGTCCATATTCCCTTATATTTGTAGATTAGAAACCTAGCTTTGTTTAAAAGTTTCATAGAATTCTAGAATTCTTATTACTTTACTAAGCTTAGATGTGAGACCAGAACAGAAATGAGAGCTAAAGCCACACTGATCCTTGCTCCATGGAAGAGGCTTTTTTACCTTGGCAGTCGTAGCGTTAGATAATCGGATACAGGAGAACAGAATCTCAGAGCTGGAATAGACACTAATGACAAGATAGTGAATCTGACCTCCTCTTAGAGACAGGGAAGCTGAAGCCAAGAGCAATTACCAAGGATTGGTTGACCAAGGGTTGTATGCCTGGTTGACAGCTTATCTGTCACTTCTCCATTGTTGCCAACCCCAGCTGTTTTTCTGAGATGTAAATAGTCCCCTTCCCTCCTCTCCTGTCCGCAGTACTCTCCTTTGCTGTCCTGGGAGAGGGGCACAAAGGTACCTCTCCAATTTTTCCCCTTTCTGGTGTTCATATACAAGCACATTTCTGTTTTGCCATTTAGACCCTGGTCACTCAACCTATATTTCTTGGATATAGAAAATACATTCTTGAAAAGAAACTGTGATTGTGTGGGGGGAGTTGCAAAGATGTATCAAACAGTCAGTAACAGATGAGATGAGAAAGAGACACAGTTGATTATAGTATGACTTTAAATTAATTAAAATTAAATAATATCCAATAAAGCAGTTTAAAATATTAGGTAATTTTAAAATTCTGGTTTTAGTCACCCTTGGCCACATTTCAAGTGCTCAGTAGCATTATAGTATGACTTTAAATTAATTAAAATTAAATAATATCCAATAAAGCAGTTTAAAATATTAAGTAATTTTAAAATTCTGGTTTTAGTCACCCTTGGCCACATTTCAAGTGCTCAGTAGCACTTGTGGCTACTGTATTGGACAGCACAGATACGGAACGTTCCCGTTACTGGAGGAAGTCCTGTTGGACTGAGGTGCTGGTTTAGAAGCTTGTCATTCAAAGTGTCATCCGTGCCCGGCAGCTTCAAGGTGCACTTGTTAGAATCTGCATTGTAACAAGATCCCCAAGTAGTACCTGTGCACATTGAAGTTTGAGAAGAGCTGCTTTCAAATATGAACAGTCCCACAATCAGAGAAAGCTGAGGTTTCAGGAAGAACTCATGCGATTTCCTTTCCCCACGACTGACTATAGTGGGAGGTATCACTACCACCAAAACTTTGGAAACTAGGAATTTCTCATGTAGTAGAAGACTGTTAGCCTCTGATTTGTTATTATTTTACTGTGGATTCATTTTGACACTTCAAAAGGGTACAATTGGAAGTTGTGTTGCCTTTGATATTACTTAAAGGAAACACCAATTTGTGAGTCATTCCTAAAACTCACTGCACATTGAAAGTGTCTAATAATCAAATTGCAAACATATTACCAAGTACCCGCTACACTCAAAGTAAGTGGAGAAAACAACCATTCACTTCTCATATCTCTTCCCTACTCCTACCAAATCCTTCAGACACACCCAGCTTGGGTGGACAATGCCACCTTTTCTTATAGCGCAGTAGAGGAGAGAAGGAGACGAAAAGCAAGAATAAGTAATAGAATGTCTCTTCTTGCTTTTGGAACTTTCCAGCTGTCCAAACTTGATTTCCTTCTTTAGGGTTCCATTGTTCTCAGACCTGTCTTTGTCAAGGATTTAAGAACCCCATAGTGAGAATCTTGAGGGAAAATATTGCTTTTCTCTTGCTGTAAGATAAATCTTAATAATGGTTTCCATGAAAATTTAAATAGCTTACAAAAAATAAGAACTCTAAATCTCATGGACCAGATTACTATTAATTTTGCAGTCAGTTATGAAGTGGCTAAATAGGGAAATTTGTGACCAGCTTAGCAAGATTGCTGTAAAACTGGGATGGATGGAAATCAGTTCTTTTTTAATGTAAGTTTACAGACATAAATTTTATTTTGTAAGGGTGCATGGGGATGTTCCAGAGGAAAGCATCATATTTCAGAGGACAGACCGAAGAAGCCATTGTGTTTTATTTGCTTGTTTTTTGGCCCATGCCACAGAGTGAAAGGGACTTATTTAGCCAGTTGTATTGATGTAGACCAGGTTTGTTAAATACGCTTTTGTGAAAGCAGGTATCCCACATTTAACACCTGTTGCAGATGGACTGTCACTAGGATGTCCTGAACTGGCCAATAGTGAATCCTCAAATTGAAATTTTAAAAAAAATCTCCATCTAGGACAAAGAACAAGAACTGGAGCAGTTGACTAAAGAGCTGCGGCAAGTCAATCTCCAGCAATTTATCCAGCAGACAGGGACAAAAGTTACCGTCTTGCCAGCTGAGCCCATTGAAATAGAGGCCTCACATGCAGACATAGAAAAGGGTAAGATGCTGATAAATATGCCTTTTTTCCTTTATTCTCACTGGTTCACTGTGAGTAAATTGCTTGCGTTCAGTTAAAGTATTATCCTACCATTTCAGAGCTAATTTTTAAGTGGACCACTTAAAAAAATTTGACATATTTCCTGTGTCTGGGGAAAATCAGTAACATTTAGGTTATATATTTACTTAGGTGAGCATGTAATCACCAAACCTCATATTATTAGTTCTAAAGTACTTCCTTATAAAACTTTTTGCTGAAGTATGTATGAGTCATAATCCATTAATTTGGATTTTAGCTTTTCTCTGTTTTTTTTTTTTTTTTTTTTTTTTTTTGGCAGCTGTCCAGTACTGGGTTCCAAACCCATGACCTTGGTGTTGTAAGGCTGCTCTCTAACCAATTGAGCTAACCGGCCAGCCTGTCTCTCTGTTCTTATTGCTCCTTCTTCTTCTCCTAAAAGTCTTTATTATTAATTTGTGGTGATATTTAAAAGACAATTCTAAATCTGTGTATGCAAATGGACTGAACAACCAGGAAAGAGAAACAAAATGCTCACCTTTTTGAAAGATCATTGACTATTCAGATCACTGAAAACTGGCCAAGCAGCCTTCTTCTCTCACCCTAGGGCCCACAGGGGATTGCAATTGTTGCTTTATGTACTTCTTTCAACTTTGTTAAGCTAATTACTCCAAGTTGATGAGTACATCAAATGACTTTCTTTGTTTCCTCTTCAGAGGCACCATTCCAGTCTGGGTCCCTGAAGCGACCAGGTTCATCTCGGCAGCTCCCCAGTAATCTTCGTATTCTACAAAATCCTATCTCATCTGGTTTTAATCCTGAAGGCATATATGTATAACATTATCTGTCTTTAGGGGAGAGACCCAATAAAGGTACCAAGGACAGTAAAATTCCTTCTGTGATTTGTGCCAATGATGAGCAGAGGATATGTTTCATAAACCACCGTATCTTTTTTCCTCTCCTAAATTTCATACCACTTGGAGCCATACCCTGTGCACTGATGCTAAAGAACAAAGAAGCTGTGTTTTCACACATCCACAGTGTTGACATTTTTGTCCAGCAGCTGTAATGCAAAGCCTTCGTTTTTATTTGTAGCATTTTGAGAGCATTAGGGAAGTATTATACTGTGTGTATACATAAATAGACCGTGACTTACAGTGAAGAGATACTGTGACTGGCTTAGTTTAATTTATTCCATGTAACTGATTAATGTGTGAATGTTGATGTTTTTATATTCTTTATTACTACTTGTCCTGTGACTTAATTACGTTACATATTGTGTGACTATGACTTTGTGTGCATAGTGCCAGACTCTATCCATGCATTGCTCAGTGACAACTCCTCAAGTGTCATAGGGTGCTCCACCATTGAAATTCACTCCAGAAGAACCCACTTGCATTTATTTTGTGAACCTGTCCTAGCCATTGCTTAAAGTAGGTGAAATAATTCAGGGGTTTTTTAAGTCCAGAATTTAATCTTCCCTTTACAATTTTTCCAAATATATGAACAACCACATAACATAGCAGATATTTTTCATGAGGTCAATTGCACATGTAAAAGGTTTGCAGTGTTCAGATACTATTGAAGAAAAATGTAGTTGTTGAATATCTATCCAAACAGGCATGGGGGTTCCTGATACATTGTTTTGTTTCTGCTCTGCCTTATTTACTATCATGGATCCTCAGAATTGACATAATATGTAAGTTTTAGATACCTGAGGACTGTGTTGGTCTACTTCAGGAATGTTGCTGTAAGTGATATATTTTTTACAAAGCCACTTCATTATGTATGGTCTATTGATGTACACACCCATGGGTAAGTTATTGCTTGCACATAGTTTCCTCTGTACATTATGGGCTATTGTGATTTCTTCAGTCACTTAGTGGAAAAGTAGATTGGAGTTAGGTACTTTTTACCAAGGAAATAAAGTCAAATTCAGTATATTTTTTCGTTTTTAAGCTTGACTTTTCAGGACATTAATCTCCATTTGTACATATATAGTTTTATTTATAAACCAAAAATGAGCCAACACCTCTCACATGAGTAGTGACTTAATTAAGATTCACAATTAATATTTAGACATGTGGTCAGACACCTCTTAGCCATTTTTACATTCCCTCTGATCAAATGTGGTACAATATAATTAAGACTTTAATCTGATATTTAAAGTAGTTTTTACTTCTGAGGAAAATGCACTCTGTATTATTTACATGCAACAAAATAAGTGGATTAATATAGTAATGACATGGCAACGATAAAAAGATGTCTTATGCATGAAGGCAACTGGTACAATATAATTAAGACTTTAATCTGATATTTAAAGTAGTTTTTACTTCTGAGGAAAATACACTCTGTATTATTTACATGCAACAAAATAAGTGGATTAATATAGTAATGACATGGCAACGATAAAAAGATGTCTTATGCATGAAGGCAAGTTTGGATGTTTTAGCGCATTTAAATTATTTTTGGTTTAATGAATGCTGAGAATGCTGCTTTATTTAGGTTTACTATGAAAAATTTTACGAATGGCCATGAAAATATATAGAAGCTTCTAGAAAATCGAAAGTAATAATGTAGAGTTGCCTTTTCTAATCCAGCTAAATGGCAGAGCTCATCTGAAGATACTATTTTCTTTGGGTTCTTGGAGTTATTAAGTTGATCTTGCCATTATAACTACTTTGCAAATAACTTGAGAAGTAAATGATTCTTACCTAAATAACTACAACCTATATACATTTGCTCTCAACTTATAGTACTTGTTTCATATCTATATATACTTAAAAATTAGGGTAATTAAAAATCAAAATAATTTTTAAGTTTTGTGACAATAATGATTTATGTATGCCCAATATCTGCCTTACTTTTAAAGAGTCCCATCCTATTCTGAGTCATTTTGTTGTTGTTCAGAGAAATTGAGACCTTATTCACAAAGAAAAACCTTTTATACATAGATCACATTCTATTTAAATCAAAACATTAAACTATAGATATATTAAATTTTGCAATTAGAAATTGTGAAGATATGTTGGTGTACCACGAGAAATGCACAGTCAATATTCAACTTAATTACTGTAAATTATTACCATAATTAATCTAGTAACTTTAAAGAAAGACAATGTCCTTCCAACCTGTAGTAGTCCTGGGTTCCCCAGCATAGTATCATAGTTAACCTCTCTGACAACTTCATTAGAATTTTTAAGCTGCGAAATAATCTTCATGGACCTAATTACAGATAGAAATGCTATTTCCAAGATGAGGAGAGTATATAAACATGCATTTGATGAATACATTGAGCAGCTGTACTTTTTAATCAGTTATATTACTTCTGGAAGCACATATCTAAGGAATATTTTATGTCTTTTTAAAAAAGTATTAAAGGGGAAAAAACTCGTTTCTATAGGAACATCTTAAAATATTTTAGTCTGTTCATGATCATTTTTATCTATTGCAAATACAGATGAGTTAGATTAAGTGCCACATCTTTGGATACATTTTGGAGGGGGGAGAGGACCATGGTATAAAAAATACCAAATATAAAATTTTGCACCGGGGGGAATATTCAGGTTCTAAATACTAAATTAGATTACAAGTTTGTATGTTTTTTAAAAATCATACTGCAAGTTGTTTTGTGATTTTTCTACAACTGTTAAATACATTAAAAGATTTTTTTTGTTACCAAGAAATAATTTGAAATAGCATTGGTATATTTGACCTTTTGAGTATCTCTCATCCTCAGAGAATGATCCGTAGTGGGTTGCCTCAGTCCTTTTGTTGTCTTTATGAAATATTTTGGTTTGTTAGCATTTGTTTTTTGTCTTGATGCACAGGGAATTTTTTATATGTGAGACTTCAGTTGGTATTAACAGGAGTTACCTATTTAATTCCCTCAGTCATCAATGAGCTAGTCATCAATTCCTGTTGAGTTGAAATTAGTCATAAACAAGAGCTAAAACAAGACTGACAGAGTAAAAATATATATATAAAACAGTAAAAGAATATAATAGCATTTGTAGTGTGAGATGTGAAGTATAGCCTTGTGTAAAAAGAACATATAAACCACTTGCTTCCACAGCATAAATAAAATGTACACCTGCATTAAAAGACAATTTTCTTTGTGAATAAGAGCAAAACAGTCTTTTGAGAAAAGAACTCTTCATTTAAAGCCATTTCTGTGAACTTCTTTCCAAATCAGAACTGTAATGGATTGAAGAAATAATATGGAAAAATAATACGGAAAAGGCAAAAGGCTCTTAATTTCAGGTGTGCAAAGGGCATGGGCAAATGGGCAGTTCCTGTTGTGCATTGCCTTTGAAAAATTGGGCCTTAATTTATATGTAGATAACAACGTGTTCACGTCCCTCTTCTACCTACAGTTGTCTTTATTAGTCTGTATTGAATGAAAATTTAGCTCATAAGTATTACTTTTATATTATGTTCATTTTTTTAAGTTGCATGTTTATACTATTTGCTACAGTATTTTTAAATTTTGGTTGAAGGCCATCAGCTGTATCAAAGAGACAAAACAATCACTATTTATTCAGTATTGCTGCTTTGCATTTCCAGAATAAGCTTTCGATGCCAGGACAGTGACTGCTTGAAAGCTGCAGGAGTTCTTTCCAATGCATTTTATATATTTTTAGAAACCAAATAAATGCAGAAAACTATTTAGTATACTAATTATAATAAACCAGCAGAAATATAAAGGCAATAAAGTATATACATATATATATGGGGGGAGGGGAAAGGTTAAAAAATAGGTTTACAGCCAGACGTGGTAATAGCCCTAAATGTATTTCTCAATGTCTTTATTGAACCTAGGATTTGAGTTGTTGCAGTTTAAACAGAAAATTGCCATGTTCACCAATTGTGGACATATAAATATGCTTTTAGTACTGCTTCGCTTATGTATAAATTTAAAAATCTGTAATATGTATTATATGTAATTATTCTTTTCTTTTGGCTTTCATTTTGAAATGTATATTTTCTATTATTATCATAAGCTGTAAAACAAAGGATCAATATCAGATATTCTCCCAGATAATAAATTTTCAGGATTCATTGGGGCATTACAGTTGTTGGTTTGTTTCTTATGTAGTTAATATTTTAAAGTATAATTTTATTTCCTTTAAAAGGTGCCAAAGAGAATAGGTGTACATATCAGTAACACAAAATTACATTTTTCTAAATGTAATGTTAATTATACCTAAAGAATTATCTGTTGCTCAAAAGGTAGCTACTTCATCCAAGTAAAATGAATTAAGAAACTAATATGTCTCCCTTTTATTTGAAAAGTGAAAGAAAAAGTCATTTCTCAGTCAACTTCTGAATTCCCAGATCTCCTTAAAACCATAAGCATGAGGAAGAGAACTAACACTTCGGTACGTGCCACATGCCAGGCGCAACACAGGGTACTTGTCACACTTTAACATTCCCAGCCATCCAGATAACTCCTCCCAAATCACACTGCGAGTAAGTAGCTGACACGGCATTTGAATTTAGACCTTTCAGACCCCAAAGTACTTTCCTGTATTCCATGGCAAAGTTGCCTACTCTTTATAGTGCCCGGTTTCTTCATTGTAACCACTTTTTAATGTGGAAGTATAAAAATTATTTTTATAGGAATATTTGTATAAATAGAAATTAAATCTTGATCAAGCAGTTATATGAATAACAGTATGTTATAAAAGCAAAGATAAAATGAGAAACTTAAAATTTGGGAGACTTCTAGAATGTTAGAAGTCTATCCTGTCTTCCTCTAAAGTCATATGTTTTGTTAATGGCAGAGCAAGAAATATGAACTCCCATTCACTTGACTCTTCACCTGCCACCCACTCCATGTGTTTGTGCTGTGTCCCTTAGGAAAGACAAGTAGAGTCCTATAGAATGGGCATAAATATGCTGGACACGTTCTTGCTTTCTACAGACCTTGGGTGAGCCCCTATTGTTGGTCAGACACTGGGCTGAAATTAATATGATTTGCAGTTTACTTCATGGAAGTTAGGGTCTAACAAGACAGCAACCTCAGTACAACGTGGTCAGCACCATTAACGAGGCAAAGATAGCGTGGCATGGAAACACATGTGAACCAGGAAGGGCTGTCTGCACAGGCTATGAGATGGAAGGTGAAGAGCCCCTTCATGGAAGTTAGGGTCTAACAAGACAGCAACCTCAGTACAACGTGGTCAGCACCATTAATGAGGCAAAGATAGCGTGGCATGGAAACACATGTGAACCAGGAAGGGCTGTCTGCACAGGCTATGAGATGGAAGGTGAAGAGCCTGAGGAGCTGTGGCCAGACAGTGAAGGGACCAGAGGCCTCAGAGAAGGGTGGGCAGGCTTCAGATCATGAAGGGCCTTGGTTGCCATGGTAAAGTATTTGGACTTTATCCTGAGAGCCACAAAGGAGGTTTTAAGCTTGGAAATGAAATGATCAGGTTAGCATATTAGGAAGAGCCTTCTGGCTGGCAGGGTGGAGAACTGCCTGGAGAAGATCCAAGCCTAGAGGCCAGAAAGATCACTGAAGAGGCCTGTGGGAGTCCAGGCCAGAAGTGATGGTAACCTCAACTAGGAAAGTGCTGTTGGGGTTTATTCATATGACAACTTTGTGCTGAGCTCTTTGTGCCAGGTCATGAAGAGAGAACAAAGCAGGTTATAGACATCCTAAGTAGACAGTACCAAAAGGATGTGATTTTTCAAATAGGGGTACAGAATAGAAGAACCAAAGAAACTCCAGGTGTTTAACAGCTATCTGCAACCTTAAGTGGCTGGTGGAACTCATGCTGTGGGCTCTTCATGATGAGCGTTCACAGATACTCTGTTCTGTGTGCTGGCACAAGAGGAAGGGAGGAGAGATAATAAAGACATGGAATGTAGAGTATGTATTCAAGTGGCAGGCCTTCAAGTGGACTTCCTTGTACAGTGCCCCGGCGGCGTTCCCTGCGAGAATGGCAGCGATTGGGGAAATGCTCTTTGCAGCAGATTTAACCATTGAAATCTCTTTGTCCAGTATGTTGGAATACTGTTTGCCTAGCATACACTTGACTCTGTGTTCCCACTTTCAACCACCTGCCATGTGTATGTGTCCGAGGTGATAGAAGGATCCAACACGGACCAGAAAGTTCACTAAAATCCTGGGATTTTTTTTTTTTTTTTTTTTACATTTCCTGCTGTCAGTGAAACCTCCCCTAACTTGTATGTATATAATCAAGCTTCAGAATGCATGTGCAGAATCTTACTTTATGAAAATACTTATCTCTAAAAAGTTTGAAAGTAATAAAAACGGAAGAGATGTGGGCTTTACTGTCATGTCCAAAATGAAGTCAGTTTTGTTGCTCAGCATCACTCATCATAGGGGAAATGCAAATCAAAACCACAATGCAATACCACCTCACATCTGGTAGGTGCACCTACTATTACAAAAAGACGAGATAACAAGTGCTGGTGAAGGTGTGAAGAAAAGGGAACCATTGTGTACTGTTGGTGGGAATGTAAATTGGTACAGTTATTATGGAAAACACTATGGAGGTTCCTCAAAAATTAAAACTACCATACGACCCAGCAATCCCTCTCCTCAGTATATACTCAAAGGAAATGAAATCAGCATCTCATAGAGATATCTACACTCCCATGTCATTGCAGCATTATTCACAATAACCAAAATAGGGAAACAACCAAAAGTGTCCATAGACATATACACATAATGAAATATTAGCCTTAAAAAAGGAGATCCGCCATTTTGTGACAACATGGATGAAAGAGGACATTATGCTAAGTGAAATAAGCCAGAGAGTGACATTTAAGTCGGTAGACTGAGTAAAGCAGATAGTCCTCCCTAATGTGGGTAGGCCTCATTCAGTCGGCTGAAGGCCTGGATACAACAAAAGGATGACAATCCCCTGAACAAAAGAGAAACCTCCTGCCCGACAGCCTTCAGACTGCAACATCAGCTCTTGGTTCTCTGGTAGCTCCGGCCCTCAGAGAACTGAACTGAGACATGGGCTCTGCAGATTTTGGATTTGCCAGTCTCCATAATCACATGAGCTAATTCCCTATAATCTCTCTCTCTCTCTCTCTCCACACACACACACACACACACACACACACACACACGTGCACATAAATATATACATATTAAAAATACATACATTAAAAATGTGTGTGTGCATGGCTACAGCAACAGACAAGACATGTTGAGGGAAGAGGCACAGGAGTCTGATTGCCTTAGAGAATCCAGACGGAACGGAATTGGATGAAGTTAGGGGTTAGCAGGCAGAGAAGGTTTTGTCCATTTCTGTAACTGAGTTGCTACTTCCAATAAACCCAGAAGAAAATTAAGTATCTTATGCATCATATCACTGCTTTTTCATGCCCTTTGCTATTTGCAATTTAAAATTCTTAAAGATGTTTCACTGTATCGATAATATTCTCAGGAAGCTTTATTGTCCAGGTCAGGGATTTATTTACCCAATTTATTTCAGCAAATGTTTTCGGGGAACCTATCAAGTACAAGAACTCTGTTAAGACAAAGGAATACCAGGATGCACACACCTGTACTGTAAGGAACTCAGAAACGAAATGTGGAAAAACTGTTCACTAATGACTAATGGCAATTTATAACTGCCAAAAGTAAAGCTGAAGGCCCTCAAGATCTTCAAGGAGAAGTGATTAATTTTTACTAGAAAATAAGAAAATGCTTCAGGCAGGAGGTGGCCTTTGAGCTAGGTTATAAAAATGGAGAAGATTTTATCAGTCTTGGAGACTGCAAAAAGAAGCAGCAAACAACGAGATGGAAAAATGTAAACTTTTAGTAATCTGGTGTGCCTGAAATTTTAGGATGAATGGGTGGATGTGATAGGAGAGGAAGTTGGAGGAAATCAGGAAAAAGAAGCCATACCTGTTTTATTTATTTATTTTTTATTGAATCAAAATTGATTATACATATTTTGGGGGTGCAACATTGAGATATGTTGATCAAATCAATCTTACTAGCATATATATTGTTAGAAATCACAATAATCCTTTATGCCCCTTGTCCAGTCTCTCCCCATCCCCCTCTCCCTCCCCCCTCTAATTACCCTAGATTTCTTCTCTCCTTCTG